GATCGAACATTAGTTCTCACCTGGGATATAGAAACACATTCAACACGTGGGTTAGAGCATGTGCCTATGGCAAGATACAAAGAAGATAATGTATTCATGATTTGTATGACAGTTCATTGGAAAGATGACCCGAAACCACTGAAACAAATCTGTCTCGTTGATATGGAAACTACATCAGATCCGGATTGGATCACTATTGTTTGTGGGAATGAAACGAATTTATTAAAAGCATTTGCCCTATGCTGGCGAGCACTAGCTCCCGATATTGAACTTACGTATAATGGTTCCAAGTATGACTGGCCATTTGTAGTGGAAAGAGCTACCCAACGGAAAATTTTGGATTGGATGGTATCAAAAATGTCAGCAAACCCACGTAAAAAGGCCACAATTGATTCTATACTTCGTTGGAATTACTACGGAGGGATAGGTGAACCTTTCTATAAAGATTTCTTTCATAAAGAGCAAACATGGGGATCTTCCAAAAAAGAAAACAAGGATAGCAAAAAGAAAAAGAATCGGGAAGGGATCGAAATTAAAATCACTCCAGAGAAAAATTTTATATCTACTTTTCTTAAAGTCCCCGGTTGTGTTCCAATCGATGTAAAAGTATGTTATGAGAAACTTTATCCTCATTCTGAAAAGACATCACTTAACCATTTCCTAAAAACCAATAAACTTGATAGTAAAATAGATTTACCGATAAAATATATGAGGAAATATTACACACAAAGCAAGGAAACTACTACATCTGAAACTGCTGAAAATATTCGTAAGATTGCAAAGTACTGTATTGTAGATTCTCTTAGTTGTCAAAGCCTTATGGTCAAGCGTAATGTAATAAACGATTATAGAGATGTAGCGTCAATTGCTTATGTATCTTTATTCGACTCGCATTATTATGCTGTTGGTATGAAAGTACGTAATTTATTGGGCGCTGAAGCATGGGAGCGAGATATATTAATTACTATGATCGCTTCTGAGCAAACAGAAAAAGACAAATTTCCCGGAGCCTATGTATTTCCTCCAGATAAGGGTCTAGAAAACAAACGTCCTGTTACAGGTTTAGATTTTGCATCTTTATATCCAAGTATTATTATGAATTATAATCTCTCGCCAGAAACAATAACTTTACTAGTAGAAGAAGCAGGTGCATTAGAAAAGGCTGGAGAAACCCTCTATAAAATTGAGTTCCCTTTCAATGGTCGAATTTTACATGCATGGTCTATAAGACATGAAAATAAAAACAATAAAATGGGGTTATATCCATCCGTTTTAAAAGAACTCCTTAATAAACAAAATGAAATGAAGGTTAAATTGGGAAAACTTGGTAAGATAAAAGACTACATGGAATTAGTAATTAGTAAAATAAAAGAGGAGAATTTATTGGTAGCTGATGCTATTGATCATACCTTGAAAAATGCCGAAGATGAAGAAAAACGTGTCAATATGAATGAAGTCTTGATCCCTCTTATTAATGAAACCCATGAGAAGTTCAAAATAAAATACGATTCCATCTGTTTCGATTACACCTATCTGGATTCGAAACAAAAAGCTGTAAAATTATATATGAATTCCTTCTTTGGAGAAACAGGTAATAGTCTATCTCCATTCTTCTTTCTACAATTGGCTGGTGGTGTCACATCGGCAGGACAATATAACATTAAACTTGTTGCTGAGTATGTAACTAAGAAGAAAGGTTTTGGAATCAAATATGGAGACACTGATTCTTTATATCTTACCTGCCCTACTGAATGTTATAAAGAATGTGATATCGCCTATAATAATGGTAAAGGTACGATCACAAAGTTAGAGTATTGGACCGAAATGGTTAAAATTACTATGGATATAATGAAGAAATTACGTGACGATGTAAATAAATATCTTAGGTTAAAAAGCAGATCGATTTATCTTAAAATGGCTTATGAAGAGGTATTATTTCCAGTATGCTTTACTGATAAGAAGAAATATTTCGGAATCCCCCATGAAGAAGAGGTAAATTTCAAACCAGACAAAGATAAACTTTTCATTAAAGGAATTGATACTGTGAAGCAAGGAAAATCCCAACTTTTTAGAACCATAGGGGATCGGATTATGTGGGGGGCGATGGATATTAACAATAATCGAACTCTCCATGAAATTGTTGAAGACGTCCTTAAAGAGGCTATAACTAATCCTAGGCAATGGGATTTCGATCAGTTTATAGAAACTGCCACATGGAAACCTAATAAAAATAATATACGTGTTCAACATTTTATAAAACGGATGAGAAAAAAATACGAATATAAGATTCCAGATTCAGGTGAACGTTTTAGTTATGTAATGGTCTATTCCGATAAAGTCTTTGATTTATCTGGTTTTAAACTCATTATAAGAAAGGCTGATCAAATGGAATTCGTAGATGTTGCAAAAGAATTAAATAGGAGATTGGATTTACCCCATTACTTCGAAAATACTATTAAAGGGCTTTGTGCCAGATTTATCATGTACGATAAAAGATATGAACCAGTATCCTCCAACAAGATTATGCAACTCAAGAACTTAGACGAAAAATATAAACAGATTGATAGCTATGCTCAAGAGAAGGCCAAGAAGTGGCTTGAGTCATATATTAGGGAGATAAATGTAATAAATGGAATCGCACCTAATATAATATCTAATCGTGGGTATGCTTATAAACGTGCCTACAAGAATGCAGTCAAGACCGCACAAGATATGTTATACCAGAAAATAGGTAATACATACGAAATATTCCATGGAGATTGGTTTGGCCTTGATGATTTTAAGGGAAATAATTCTATCGAGAGATTATGGGAAAAGTTTATGGAATACACCAGAGCATATACTGAAGACGATAATATATTGGTAAGTGAAGAGATAAAAGAATCCATATGCTCTGATATCATAAAACATCTGAATATACTTACCCCAATTGTCGAGAAATATGATACTTTCTTCCATCAATTAGTATATCACATGCGATATAAAGAACATATTGCCATCCCCGATAAAATTGGTTCACCCGAGACTATGAGAAAAAAAGAGATTATTACTGAGCAACCTACTTTATCCAATATAACGAAATCAGATCAAATAGCACTTGACGATTTTCTAAATACATGGAATAAAGCAGTGAGCTCATTATAAATATCTGTAATACTTATACATTATTAATTATATTTTTTCGTATATAAAAAATACCCAAGTTTAAATAGATAGTCTTGTTATCCAGCCCACATATCCCGCAACTGATTACTTTTTTTACCTATACCCCATTCACGTCTTAGTATCCACATAACCACAATAATTAACAAGGTAAGAAAGATATATGCCGACAGAGGTGACATCAAAGTACTTGCCACAATGGGAAGAGGCAGAGCCTCGAGACTAGGTCTCATCGCTTCTATCCCTCTTGCAGAAATCTGAGGATATGATTTGATCGGAGGGGAGGTATAGTTTCTCACTTGTGCAAGGTGTGAGGTCGCATTCTCTGCAATAATTGGTGATACATCAGGTTGTATCCACGCATCTAGCGTATAATCTTTATTAGTTTTATCATCACTTACCTTGGGGATATTGTCGATATCAACTTCTGGTAGTGATGCATAGCTTCGAATCACTGATTCCTCAGGTATAGGGGTGATCTTATCATCAGTATGATCCGACATGATAGTATCGATTTTTTTATCTTGGCCGTGCCAGCTCTGCTGATCCATATTTTTTTTGGGTGCTAAATATTTACTGAGATCATTATCCGCAGAAATATCTGTCTTGACACTAGCTTCGCTATTATTGCTTTGTAATGGGGTTTCGTCTCTCGATATGAAACTTTGTTCCCCACTCCATGTATTTTTTTCGTCATCTCCACCAATTGCGGGTTTCGGTATAGCCTCCGATTTTAGATGCTCCAGCTCACCGATTTTTGATAACAGTTCGCTTTTCATTTGTTCTACTTCAGCTATTTTGGATTTAAGGGACAATATCTCAGAATCTTTTTTCAATGAGTTATTTTGAATCGAAAACACATCCTTCCGTGCTGAAGTCAACTTACCGTCTAATATCTTGATCATAGACTCAAGCGATCTAATTTTTTTGGATTTTATATCATTCATAGCATTAGATTCGGCGAGAGAAAGATCTTTACGAATATTCTGAGAGATAAGGTTAGTATTTTCAATCTCCAACCGCTTGGTCTCATCAATAAGTTCTAAAGCGTGGGTATGTAACTTTTGTTTATCACTATTAACATTATCAAATGTACTTTCCCATTGCTTTCTTTCCCGATTCCATCCCTTTCTCTCCCGATCAAAATCCTTCACTTGCTTAGAGTATTTATCCTGTAATTTCCCAGTAAGGTCATTGATTTCGGCTTTGGATTTGATAATATTATGTAATTCTTTTTTCAGCTCTTGTTCACGCATACTACCAAGTCGATAGCCTTTAATATTTTGCAATGTATGTACATTAGCCATATATTCTTTGGTTAAACTATGTATAACAGAAATAAGATAAATTGTAAAATTTCAGATCTATAAAAAATGCCAAATAAATTAAGACCAGAAGCAATTCACCTATCTCACAAATCAATTTGTGAAATCATTACTGCTAGAGGTACGAGAAATGCAGTATCGATATTAGCTAAAAAGTATCTTATATCACATAGACGTATTTATAATATATGGAGATTTGCTAATGCAGTAAATAACTAGTATTGATGTACTCTACATATCATGAATACTATGAATACTATCTATACTCTACATATCATGAATACTATGAATACTATCTATACTCTACATATCATGAATACTATGAATACTATCTATACTCTACATAGTATATGTAATATGCGTACTATATGTAGGTATGAAATATGCATACTACAAATATTGGTATCAATAGTATGGGTAGTATAAATATCGGTATCAGTATTATGGATACTATAATTATTTTTTATATATAATTTTTTATATCGATAGTACTGATAATACAAAAGTATCAATATGGTTAATTATACACATAGAAGGCGTATGCGATCTGACGCGCCAAAATTGTCTCCTTCAGATTATGATGATATTATGCAATATCGTGATATGAAGTCCAAACCTTTAAAAGACCTATGTAAAAAATATCGTACATCAAATACTCGATTATATCAGATATGGAGAGGGAAGGAATTTGAAAGGATCGAATGGTGTCAATCCATACCACCTGTTCCTTCGACCTTACCTGAAAATTCTAATTGGATCGAAAGCGAGGTTTTATTGCAGAGCAGGCCATTAAGCGATGAATTGGAGATTCGAGGCTCTGCCCCTTCTTTGAATCATACTTCTTCGAACCTACATCTGGAATACGATACCCTCCCCAACAAAGAAATAAAAAAGAAAAGTTCCAAACCTAGAACAAAATCCATTCGCATATCTGATCCAATACCTACTAGCCACATTGTGTCTGCTACCGACAATAATTCTATTGCAAAACAATGGCTCTCCGAGCCTACAGAAGAAATATGTAGTGATGATCTTGATGCATTGCGTAAGCGAGAAGCTAAAATAGATGAGAAAAATAAAAGAAATCTGACTCACTTATTAGCTACTAAGTTATCTATTTAATGAGACCCAGTTCTTGAAGAATATCTGGAATAATATCTAAGAAATTATAGCAATACCTAGTCTATCTTTTCTTTATTTATACTATCATCTCTGGATGAGATATATTCAAGTAGCTTTTCATAACGTATTTGCAACTTCTTGGTAAGATCATTTATTTCAGCCTTAGACTCGAGGGTAGTATATAGTGATTTTTCCAATTCCTCATAGCTCATGCGTTTTTTTTTAAAGTCGAATTGTCAGAATCTAGGGGTAGAGCCCCATTGCTTTGCAATGAGCTAAAACCCACCGTCTCCTGTGAAATTTGGTCAGATACCAGAGGCTTACTATCTTGGGCTACAGTTGCGCAATTTACTTCGAGTTTGTTCTTGACCTCATGCATATT